GATATCTGGAGGATTACGTGGCTCTCAGTATTTATCAGGCAGCTCTAGTAAATATTAGTTTAAGAATTTTCTGGATAATGAGGATGCTTTGTAACAGCTGATAGCAGCTAGATTGATAATGAGCAACTTCCAGTAGGAGGTGCTCATTTTTCAGCCCAGAGATAACCTCTCACTATGCACAACATGCAGAAGTGCCAGTGGTGCATATTGTACAGCAGCCACACTGTGCTATAGCTTCATGTAATTAGGGAGACATCCCAGAGATGGTAACTTCTGCCTGTTCTGGACTACCATCTTCATCTTCTCAGTTATGATATACCCTACTGTCAGCCACATGTATAATGTTTGTGAAATGGGAGGACCAGGTTATCTCCAAAGCAAACAGCCTTCCTGTCTAACATCTCCAGGCGCTCAGCATTGGTTACTCAATTTTCCTGTTAGAATAAGATCACTGATTTAGTAGGGTTGTTTTAATTTCATAACAAACTATAATTGTGCCCTAATTTGTGAAAAACAAAAAAAGATTTACCTGCCTCCCTCTTGTATATTAGGTGATGTGATTTTCTGAGATTATAGCTGTATTTTTCCTGTTATTCTTGGTGGCCTGTCTCTACCTGAGCAGTTGCCTCTTCTATAATGCATCCCCTCCAGGTAACACTCAGAATACTGTTAACTGAATATGATGATAACTTAAAGTAATGCCAAAGGGAGATCTGCTCTCCACTGTATAGCCACTCACTGCCCAAAGGGAAGGGAGCAGAGGTTTGTGCTCATTGCCTTAGCTCTGTTTGGACAGGTGTTTTGCACCCTGCCTCCAGGCTGCAAGACAGGAGGGACTACATCCCACTTAGGGGGAGAAAATACAGGGAAATGAGATCAGTTTAGAGGCAAAAATATAAGGAAATGAGATCAGGCAACTAGGTAGAAAATGAAATGATGGCTGCTTATCAAACCATATATATATACATATATATATATTTTTCATACTGGTGTCTGTCACTAGCTTTTGATGTTGATCTCTCAGCATCAGCATTCTCTTCATCCTATGAGGAGAAGACTAAAATACACATGCAGGACTACACTCATGAAACTGCACACTCTTGGCTTGCAGACACATCCTAATTCATTAATAGCAGCCAATACTTTTCTGTTACTGCTAGGAAGGATAAAGAAAGCAGAGATGTTGTAACTGTCTAGTGAAGCAAACAGTTCATCCTCCCAGGATTTCAGCAAAATAAAGTGCACTCCTAATTAGGGATGATAAATGCTCAACTTCATAGAAGTGAATTGCTCAGGTTGGAAAAGACCTTAAAGATCATCAAGTCCAATTTGCATTCATTATGTTCTTAATTCTTTCACAACTCCACCATACATTCTAAAGTTGTCTTAAAAGGAATGCAACATCAGTGTTTAACACAGAAATACTCCTTTGTTTAGAAGCAGAACAAACATTTTTGCATTGCCAAGTCTCAACTGAATAAGTTTTTCTCCTCTCCAAGCACTGCATTAAAATATAATATGACTATTAAGATGTATATAGGACATGCCTAGCTTTGGTCCAGCAGTGTCCAACCCAGTTTGGTGGTGGTAAGAAACTTATTTAGGCAAATCTAAACCAGTAAACAAGATTAAAAAATATATCAGTAGGTGTGCCAGAGGTCAGGAGGTGGCAGTAAAACTCTGAGATGTTTGATCTGCATGCCAGGAATGAAAGTGTTTTAACTGCAAACCAGAATTAATAAATGATTAACTTGTAAGATTCCAATAAGAAAAGCAAGGCATGGTCAGATACTGATCATACAATTAGGAACAGTATAAGGGACAGTTAAATGATATGGGTTATACAGATAAAGCTTCATTAAAATCTTAGATAATATTCATAATTAAAATAATTAACAGTTCAAAACAGGAAAATTCCAAGTCTGAGAAAGCCCCAGAATAACTTCTCAAGTTGGGTGGAGTAGCAATAATGGATGTATTTCAAAATTCACCAAAATGGACTATAGCCTGATGACTAGGCAAGTTTATATACATACACACAGAGTAAATATATATATTCACACACATAAACACACATCAGTAGCATGCATTTGGATGGAAGAGCAAAGACAAGAACAGCTTGTCTTTGAAGCAAGATTATGGGAAAACATACAGGAATGTGTTCAAAGTAAAACAGAATGTGAAGTATCAGTCTAAAGACAGGATTCAAACTTGGAATATGCATGAAGCAAACTGCTTAATTTCTGCTCAGCTTACTTTATTTAGCTTCTCCTTCATAAATGAGAAGCTGGTGGCATGAATGGCAGAATATCAAAATGGTCTGCAGTAAGGAAAACTATAAGCCTGAGAAAGATGAATGAGATATTTGGTGAAGGGACAAAAGCTGACTTTGGTCACTTATCAAAACTGTATGCATATTCAGAGTAAATTATGCATAGCAAAAACAGCCACAACAAGCTCGTTCAACATGAAGAAATTAGAATGGTAAGTCCTGAAGGCGGGTGTTTGCCTCAAACCTTTATGCCTTTATGACAGCTGGATTCTCCTGAAGAGAAATACGCACGCACCAGAAAATCAGAAAGGTGATCTCACAAAAATTCCTCAGAACTCTAAAGCAGCAGAAGTTTACAAGAGGAAGGACAGACTGGACAGAGCTGACACTGCTTGACTTTTTTATAATGAAAGGAAAAGGTTATAATTACCGTAAGGTATCTAGAAAGAGATTCAGAAATTGCTATGGAGAACTCATAGAAAAATTGTTCATGAACATCAAAATATCAGAGCCCTGTTTCCTTAGGAAACAAACCTAAAACAACTAAAAACATTGGTTAGCACGTTTTTGTATTTATTCATATTGATCTGTTCAGGATCCATATGCCCTACATCAACACGACAAATTTATACCATATCAGAAAAGGAAATTTGGATTCTCTAGAGAACTCTTGTTTTTACAAGTAAGAATTTAACCACAACTGTAAAGCAAATAATGTGTACATGTGAATGTGCGTGTTCTCCCAATAAAATCATTTGCATAATTCATTTACTGCACCTAGATATACTTTAGAGTTCTGCTTAACAGCAAATTTCAGAAGGTTTTGCAATTACAGTATGAAAAAGTGTGAGAAAACCAAATCAATTTTTAATAAGTTCTGTTTCTACATGTTTTCCAGCATCCTCATCTTGCAATGATTTTTGCTGGTTCCAGTTCCTCACAGTAGGTCTTTCATGCAAGGCAAACCTGCCTGAATACCATGAAGGTGAAGCACTAACACAAAAAAGCAGCAAGCATTTTCAGTGTATCAGGAGAAAAAAAAAAAAAAAGGATGATAAGGACTTATTTAACTTGTTCCAATAGTGCTGCAATTTGAGACAGAAGCATAAATAATGCTGATTATACTTTGTCAGACTAAATCCAAGGCACTAACAGTTGACTCCAGGCTGCTGTCATTTACAAATGCAGGGAGCCATTCAAATATATGTGTTTTAAAAAAAAATTATTTTCTAGAAAATTCTCTAAACAAGCATTGCTGGTAAACTCCTCTCAAATGTAATGTGATACAAGCTCTGTGCCAAAATCTGGAACACAGCGGAGTGCTCTGAACAGAGTGGGAGACACCTGAGATGATTCTCTTAAATTATGCAAGAATCTCAGCTATGCACAGTAAAAGCATCAGTGTCAGGAGGTGAAGAACACAGCACTCTATACACTCACAACTAAATGCATTTAAAGCAGGAGTTCTCAAAACTCTCCCAGGAGTTTTGGCCACATTTTGTAGAGGAACTCTTAGTTTCACTTCCCGTTAATAATCATAAAACATCTTTGTGCCAGACACAGCACAAAGACATGAAAAAAAAATTTTAGGAAAGTATTTAATATGTTTTAGCTACCTTAAGACAACAGCTTAGCAACTTTAAAGAGCAGGGCCAACAGCCTGTTTTTGGCTCTTTGGAGACCACCAGAAGGAGTGTGGGCCCTGGAGTGGTCTGCAGACACGGTACCACCTGGGACGTCTTTCTGTGGTTGTATTCCTCCATGAGAGATGTAGGAGGTTACTTTTGCAGATGTCTTACCTCGTTAGCCAAATCAGTCACGTTTAAAGTGTTTTGGGCACTACTGTCTCTTATTATTAGCTTCCCTAGTGTCTTATTTCCTCTTGTCCTTTTCCACCAGAGGAAGCCCTAGGAGAATAATCAAAGGAACATCAACACCTAACCTCCTTGATTTTAACTCCCTGTCTTCTGCAGGTCTGGCTCTTAGACTTTCAGACTTTGGACTGATTTAATGATGTCGGGATGCTTAGTTCTTAACTGAAGTTGCAATGGAGAACGTCACCTCCCTGACGTTTGTAAAGAGCACTGTGGGTTTGTAAAGAGCACTGAACTGTGGGAAGATATTCACCCACTTCAGCTTCATCTGTTTAGCAATCAAATGGGAGTGGCCAGTTTGCAGGAGTTGCATTGTTTTGGATTTGTGAAGAATAGGTCCTTTTTCAAAGCAGAGGGCTCAACTTACTCTTGCCAAACACTATAAGAGGAAAAGAAGGGTAATTCTTGGATGGTAGGACGGCAAATCATCTTTCTGGCTAGAAGCCTTGTTTTGGAGTTTTGTTGCTTAGTATCTGTCAGCACTTTAATTCCTAGGAATTAACTTTCTCTTCCAACAACTTGGCCTCAACTAAATGTTTGCATATAAAGTGTCAGAACTCAGAAGTTTTTTTAACTTTTTTTTTAATTAACTTTCCAAATGTGGTTATGTCTCAAGATATGAAAAAAAGTACTTGGGGGGTACCCGACACTAAAGAAAAAAGTTATTAGTGTGGCACACATTCAATCCTGTGAAATATTTAAAGGAAGGCAAGATGAACATTTAAAGTACGACTTTGAACAGTGCAAAATTCTGCAGATTTATCCTGAACCGGGGCTGTATTTTGAGGTGTCTGGCACTTCTTGCCATTGCAATTACTCTACTGCCTTTGAGAATAACTTATTACAAAACTAACCTCACACGTTCAACCGGTTTCCTTTCAGAAATACTTCATGTGCTGATGGATCACAAGAGGAGGGATCTCATCCCCAGACTCTGAAGATACAAACAAGAAGGAAGTAGTTGTTAACGATTTGCCGATATAAACTAAAAACAAACGGCAACTCAATGAAACCATGCAATTCTGCAGTGCCCCAAACCCTCGTGTTATATCGAACAGAAACCAGTGCTAGAGGGTGAGCGCGATTAGCTGCAGTACGGCATGCACTGAGGCGTGCCTGCTGAGGGAAGATGTGCCCCCAAAAGGAGAGGAAGTTAGAAGAAATTAAGAGCCTTCGTGAAACACTGACGCATCTCAGTGGACTTTCGTTACAGTCACGTTCATCAGCCCAAATCCCACCTGAGGGCAACGCAGAAAAACTCCGCCAAGCACAGAGGAGCGAAAGCCGTCCCGAGCAGCACGACAACCCCGCGTCGCCAGAGCCGCTTCAGCGCCCGCAGGACACGAGCCGCGTCCACCTGGCATCACGGGACCCCCGAGGGGCGGGCCGCAGCCCCGCCCGGCAACCAATCAGCGCTCCGCCCCGCGCCGTTCTCCCTCCTGCAGCCAATAGGACGCGAGGCTGCCCGGGGCCCGGGCGCGGGCCGGAGCCGTGTTCTGGCGAAGCGGTCGTTGGTATCCGCGCGCTCCCGCGGAGCTCCACCCCTCGAGGCGGGGCTCAGCGTGGCCCGGCCCGGCCCAGCGCGGCGGCTGAGGCGATGCGGAGCCGGGGCGCGCGGCTCCTCTCCTAGACGGAGGTTGGGGTGCGTTCGCCGCCACTCGGGAGACCCGACCTCAGGTAGGAGCCGCCGCCTCCGCCGGGCGAGGCGAACGGGACGCGACACCGGGTGCGCCGAGGCAGGTGCGGGGCGGGGGGCGACCGAGGAGGCGCCGGGGTGAGGCGGGCCGGGGGCGAGGCCCCCCCGCGGGTTCCAAGATGGCCCCCGCCCCCCTAGGGAGGCGGCCGGCCTCGCCGCCCCCCGTCCGGGAGCGGAGCCTCGCGGCGCTCCCGGGGCCGAGGGGAGGGCTGAGTCGCTCTGCCCGGCTCCCGGAGCCCTTCGGGGCGGTGCGAGCTCGTCCCGGGAAGTAATGGATGTGAGCGGACGTGAGGGGACGGCGGGCGCGCAGCCGGGCTCGCAGAGCCGTAAATTTTAATTTGCGGCTGTCGGTGACGCGAGGTGTGCTCGTAGATCGGTTGAGAATAGCGTAACTCGGGCGTGGAGCCGGCCGCTCGTTGGTTTGCTAATGCTCACGCTTAATCTGCGTTGAGCGAGCTTTAAAAACATCCGTAAATAGCATTATGAATTGGACGAGTTGCACGTGAGCGGCAGAAACGAGCCTGGATGCGGCGGCACTCGGAGCGCTGTGCTCCCCGCTATGGTCCGGGCTGCGCTGCTGCTCAGCCCGTGGCATAGCAGACAGACCCCTTCCCGCACCTCCAGAGCTTGGTCCGGTTTGGTTTCCTAAACAGCCCTGTTCATCTTTGCCTTTCCCTCCTGCAGAACGTGGTGTGCGATAACTTCAGGGGCTTTGGGGGCGGGCGTCCTTCAACCTCACGGAGATCTCCAGCACTGAATTTCAGCATCTCCTTTCTACAGTTTTCAGTGAGGTTCAGAGTTCTTATTTCAGGCACCTCTAGACTGAGATTCTGGTTTCAAGGAGAGCTGCTTGTAGCCACCGTTCCTTGTTAAAAGTGCTCTTTGTAGATGTCCGTTTTAAAATGTAGCCTTTAGAGTTTTGGTATGAGGTATTAGTGTCATCCTTCATGACCTTTTAATGCAGGGGTGATTATGTCTATGCCGTATTTACAGAAGATCTGGCTTAATTTACAGCTTCGATTTTCACTTAGTTAGAATAAACAATACTTTCACTGATGTGGATGATTAAATCTCTGATCTCGCTTAGAATTAATGTTAGGATTTTGGTAAATGTCACTGTTGGATTCAGTAAGTCTTTTTGTATTCAGAACGAATGATTACATGCAGTTTCTAAAAGCGGTCTTAAAGCAGCGGTTAATTTAGGTTTTAGAATTTAATCTCTTAGAGTGGAGAATGAATGAAAGGGACACGGCAGTTTCAGCTGTGCATGTTTATTCATCAGAATGACAAAGAGTAAAGCGGCAACCTAAATGGCAAAAGGTAGATCTAAATGGGCTTGGACTTAGAGTCGTTTTGGATTTGACCATCTCTCTGCTTACATGTGTGCACGTAAATGGGGACAGAGGTAGTCCCAGAGGTGCTTATTGCTGTCAGGTGGCAGAGAACATTGAGGAAACATTGCTCTGTGTTTACTCGGTTCTTGTTCTCTTCCTCAGGCATCTATCAGCAGTCTTTATCAGAGACAGGAGGCTGTGTTGCATGAGCACTGCTTCTGGGCTGGTATGGCGTTTGTGTGCACAGTAAAATGTCTTCTGTGCTGTAACACCCAATTTGGAATTTAGCTTTCATATTAGGCAGGTGCAGCGCTGTAGGTTTGTAAGAGCACAATGTAAAATCAGAACCAGGTGCACAGAAAGCAGATTAACATACTATTGCTTTCAGTGCTTATTTGTACCTTCATTAAAATTGACAGAGCTCCCCAGCTCCTGATAGAAAGCAGTCGCAAACATGTCTCAAAGTGCCAGCCCTCTCCTGAGTGTGTGGTGGGAACGCTGTGGTTCTCAGAAAGATGCTGGTGGAAACTGCTGGAACTCCCATCTGTTCTTAGGATGTTGCAGCACTGCCTTTGACTAGAAGTGAAGCTTTGATTGTGCTTTCCTGTGATGAATTCTCCTTATGCAGCAAACAGCCAGGCGTACTTGAGCCTTTCATTTAGCTGTAACATATGGAAGGGAGCAGAAGGACCATAAGAAAAGTAGTTCAGTAGCACCTTTCTGTCTAACCTGGTTCCTCCATGTAAGGGTTATTTCACAGAATCACAGAATCAAAGAATGGCCTGAATTGGAAGGGACCTCAAGGATCATGAATCTCCAATATCCTTGCTGCAGGCAGGGCCGCCAACCTCCCCATTTAATACTAAACCAGGCTGCCCAGGGCCCCATGCAATCTGTCCTTAAACACCTCCAGGGACGGGGCATCCACAACTTCTTTGGGCAGCCTGTTCCAGCACCTCACCACTCTCTCTGTAAAGAACTTCCCCCTGACATCCAATCTAAATCTCCCTTCCCTCAACTTAAAACCATTTCCCCTTGTCCTGCTGTTATCAACCCTTTCAAAGAGTTGATTCCCCTCCTGTTTTTAGTCTCCCTTTAGGTATTGGAAGGCTGCAATGAGGGCACCCCACAGCCTTCGTTTTTCCAGGCTGAACAAGCCCAGCTCCCTCAGCCTGTCTTCATAGGGGAGGTGCTCCAGCCCTTTTCTTTGTGGCTCTCCTCTGGACCCTCTCCAAGAGCTCCCTATCTTTCTTGTACGGGGGGCTCCAGACCTGGACAGAGAACTCCAGATGGGGCCTCACAAGAGCGGAGTAGAGAGGGACAATCACCTCCTTGTCCCTGCTGGCCACCCCTCTTCTCTTGGAGCCCAGGATACCATTTACTTTCTGAGCTGCATTTCAGAACTTGCTATGGTAATAAGTAAAAGCAGGAAGAAATCCAGTCTTGCTGCTAGCGAAACTTCTGTTACTTGTCTCCTAGTGTACCTCTTTGAAGGCTGTTGTAGTGACTGAAGCAATTTTTACCACCTAGCGCAAGGTGAATTACACATGGGAGTCCCAAAAGCTTTCCACTTAGTTGTGCTAATACAGCTTAATCCCAGCCTGCGGTGTGTGTGTTCTTCCTGCCCCATCTCCTGGGAAGTTCTCATTCTGGTTGCTGCTATACATAGCTCATTAAGGAAAAGATGTGGTGTATTCACTTGTCCCTTCCTAATTTTAGTCTTAGAAATATATGACACAATAAATTGACACTTGCTTGCAGAGGATCCTGAGTATTTATATCATAAATGATGTCATATCTTGGATTTCCTTGCCAGGTAGTAGTACTAAGTAGAGCAGGAGGGAACAAGCCTTACTTAATGCATGTCATATTAGCCTCGCGGTGCAGTATCCTTAACATTCCTGGGCAGCTCAGCCCACTTGCTCTGTGCCACACCTCGCTGGCTGTGTGGCAGCTCTGAGAGCCCTGGCTCTGCTTGTCGGTTTTCCAGGACCTTTGGAAGATCACCACGCACTCAATGAAGTTCTTTTAGTGAGTATCCAAGTTTAAGTGGTACTTTGACGTGCTCTTTACTTCAGCTAGCAGTCTTACTTTTAGAGGAAAACCAGCAGAAAGCAAAAAGAAGCTCGTCTGAAGATGCACAAAACTTTTCTTGGGTGTTTTTGAAGAGTATCTATATTCTTTATGCATAGCTAGCAAGGAATATGACTTGAATTTTCCCTCCCCTCTTCAGAAGGGTGTTCTTGAGCAATAGCATTAAGCAGACTAGTTTTGGGGACCACAGCTTCTGTCCTGAAAATGACTTAGCTGTGTATGTTGTGAATCAAGTGTAGCAATCTTGCCATTGCTAGCTATGGAGAAATGATGAGTAGCGACTATGAGAGGGTTTCAATATATTTAATATTTTGGGATTACATGTTACTGTGGCCACTGTCTTGGTTTTGTCACTTTTCTATTCAGTTGTGAGGGCTAAGATGCTCCTTCAATTCCCATTCTTGGGGAGCTTAAATGAAATCACAAGTCAGGCTAAAATTCAGCCTGGATAAAAAGCTGAACAGTGCCTTCTGAAAGTATGTTATGAAATCATAGAGTCATAGAATCACTAAGGTTGGAAAAGACCTCTTAGATTATCTAGTCCAACTGTCAACCCATCATGTCTACTCATGGAATCGTTAAGGTTTGAGAAGATCTCTGAGCCCAGCCCACCCCCACTGTGCCCACTTGCCATGTCCCAAGTGCCACATTATCATGGTTCTGGAACAGTTCCAGGGTCAGTGACCCCACCGCCTCCCTGGGCAGCCTGTTCTAATGCTTGACCAAAGACCCAACAGTCTTTTTTTTGTCAATTCAGCTGGCTTTACAGTCAGTTGGAAATCTGGTGTGTTTCATTGTTAGCAACTCTTCACATGAAGTGCTTGGGATGTTGAATCTTCATAAGAGGGGGAAAAAAAAAAAAAAAAAAAGGAAAAAAAAATAGTTTTAATAGAAGAAGAAATCAAGCCAGTCAATTTAAAGAATCAAAATGTGAACTTTCCTGGTTCTTTAACAGTGTGCAGCATTGCCAGTGATGTAATCGTTCTACCACAAACCTGCAATGAGGTGCTCTGGAAGTGAACTTCTCAGTATTTAAAGATAATCATTGAAAGAATCTGTGAACTAACTTCTCACAGTACTGCAAAACCTTGTGGAACTATAGGATTGGCAATGTGATTGCTGTCATACGCAGTGTGCCAAGGCTGTGACGAAACGTGAACATTGAAAGCATAGCCCTGTCGGTAGAAAACCTTGGGGTATTCTATTGATTTGACTGCTCAGTGCCCGCTAAACACGTGGGACTTGCTGTGGTTGTGACCCTGGGTGCCACCATTGCTGGTCCTGCTGTCCATTGCCAGTAGGAAACAACAG